ATAGTATCTGTTCACTTGAGTGTTGGTATCAAATTTTGGACAAGTTTCAATTATTATTTCACATTCCTTTATTCAAATATCCAAATAAATGGAATATGACATCAAACTGGACGACTAGATTCTGTTTCCAAACTTGTTTTTGTAAAAATAGAAAATAACAACTTATTATGTGTTGTTCTAATAAAAACTATTGTTTTTGATATCATGATATGCATATTTAATTTTTAAAATTACAGTCATTCTTTGCTAAAATGTGTACCAGGAATACTGAAATCTTTCAGATCAGCACCAATTCCCTTTATAACTTATGTAGCCAAGTGTTCTATCAATTTCTGTTCAGATTAAACAAATGATGGGTAAAATATTAGTTTAGATTCTTTCAAAAAAAATGAGCTTGCCTATTTTGAAAGCATAAAAAGCAATAAAATAAAGCAAAAGTACTTATTTTTAATTTAAAACCTTTGGACTGCATAGCTTAATGTTTTCCACTAAATATTACAAAGTTTTTATTCATTGAAATGTTGTTTTATCAGCTTTAAAACCAGATAAATCCACGAAGCACTCCTATAAATATGTCGCCATATTGATTTTTTCGCGCATGCTCCGTACAAAATGCCCAGCTGTTGTGATGAGTATATACTTAGATATTGCCATTGGCAGAAATTTGTAGCTTGTGCCAAACTGCTCAGTTGATGAATGGTTCAAAAATCTGTCATAGTGCACCACTTGACAGAGTTTGCTGCATGATACAAAAGAGGATAGTTCGTTACGACAGGGACCACTCTCTAGAAAATTACAACGATAAATCATTCTCGTCACATCTCTGCCTCTCACTAGGGTTGTTTGAGACGCAAACGCACGACAAAAATCTTCGCTTGTAGAGGATTTTATAGCAAGAACTTAAATGTACTCTTTTCCCAATTTTTCGACGGGTAGGAGAAAAGAGACTGAATGGTCGCAGTAACCACTGTTTCCAACGTTTTCACATGGGCTACCAGATATTACAGCAACAGGGTAGTTTGGACTAATAATTGTTCCCGACAAGTCATAGTCGTGGGTGAAATATTCTCAGCTTGTTAATTAAGAGTGACGGTAAATGTTTCCCCCACATCATACGTTGAATCGAGGTAACTAACACTTTCATTTGTTTTTTATGTAATGTTGACTTTCGTTCCACTCCGCTGCAAAATTTCGTTCCACTCCGAAATTTGCTGACTTCAGAGAACGGCCACAACCTAAACTTATTCTAATAGAGACAACGTATGTTTTACCAAGTGCACTTGTATGCAAAGCAAGAAACGAACCTGAAAAACCAGAAACATAATTAATTCCAATAACTGCAATATTGGCAGTTGATTGGATTTGCACACCCTTGTTCTCCACGCCTGTTTCTTAGATTCTGAATGAAGATAATAAATTTCAAATTGAACACCTTTCCACCTTTAAAGGGATATGGCAATAAAAATTAACTTTGTTTTATTTGAAAGAACTTCAAAGTTACATATGAAGACGCTTTACAACTTTTTCGTGCCTTGCTTGGTTTTCGAAATATTTTGGCCAAAAACAGTGTGCAATCCGCCATCTTGGTATTATAATTGACCTAATTAATTAACCGAGTTTTTGATGGCATCAAAAGCAGGGTAAACTTGTAAAAATTCTTCATGTGAGACTAAATTTCTTCCAAAGGTTTCTTAAAATGTCGTGAGTTAATTGAGTACCAAAAAGACTTCGAGTTTCATATTGATAATGACATGTGGTTTGTAAAATTTCGCTTTTTACCCTACTGCATGGTGACGTTTGCATATCGAATGCATATCCAAGATGGCGAAATCTTTTGATCAAAATAAGCCGATTTATTTCGAAAACCAAGCAACAACGGAATAATTGTAAGAGAAGTTTATATATCATTTTAAATGTTCTTTCAAATATAACAAACTTAATTTATTTTGCCATATCCCTTTAAGGGAAATCGTTGGGACTGGATTCTTAGACATGAGCGATGTGATTGTTACCCCTTGCGTTATACTGAGCAGTGATGCTTATTTCATTGAAATATCTCCGATTAGAACTCTATATACAAGCTAGCGTCACAAAGATCTCTCGGCTAGGCGTGGTTGTGATCGAAAAGCAAACGTTTTCATTTCACGTAAACGGTAACTATTAGATATCAACTGCTGTATCAGACAACACCAATGCTTGATTATTCCTCTGATGAAAATGTGTAAAAGTACTTCAATCCAAGCAAGTTATTACAGATACAGTAATATAAATTTTAGTCGGATAGTTACATAATCGGATACAAAACAACAAACAATATTGCTTAAGATCTAGTCTTTCACACTCGTGATATAAAATACTCGTGATATAAAATTCTCTATCTCTACTCTAAATACCCAGGTTGCTTGTGTCACCAAACACTGCGTCAAAAATCTCGGGATAAAATTGAAGCAATTTAACCATACGAAGATGACGTAAAAGTTATTTTCTTGAGAATGACTTGGCCGCTAAGAGAGTTGACCACTATAATTAAATATGCCAATGAAACATTATAGTAAACAATGCTTTATTCATTACGAAGTCGGTAAACAGTAGCCGAGCAATCAGATTGCCATTATTTCAAGCTAAATATTTTCTCGCTTTATATTCCTTATTAAAAATTGAAAGCCATTTATATGGATTGTAGGCAAATTAGTATACAAGTGGCGGCCACTTTGTCGTTAATTTCTGGCAATGTTCCCTAATCCAAAACGGCAGACAAGTAAATCTCTGTAAACTATTGCCAACGATCTGACAATAAAATAAGCTATCAGGCAGACAGTTTATATGGTATTCATAAAGACTCAGCTTGTATTTTACTATAATTTCAGACGTTTGCCACTCATCACTCGCCATAGCAGTTCGCGTTGCATGTATTTATAACGTTATTCTGTTTGAATTTGCTGATCAGAAATCAGTTGGTTATGCGCACTTGCGGCTGCAAGGACTAAATAAATTCATCACAATTGTGTCTAATAAGTGCTTGGGGCAATTTCGTGTCGTAATTCGTAAGCGTAAAATATTATAGTCGTTTCATTACTTTCTTGACTCGCTGTCTCATATTTTGCACAAGAGTCTTCTTGTTTATTTTGAGAGGTTCATACAGCTAATATTTGATAAAATATTTTAAATGTCCACAGGGCCGTAGCGAGGGGGTATTGAGGGGGGGTGGGGGGGGGGGGGGGTTAACTCCTCCCCCAACTTTCTTAGAATTAACATATTCGGAAAATTGGGTTGGCCATTCGGAAAATTACGGCAACAATATAGTATTATAATAACAAAATTTTAGTTAATTTAGTTTATTGTACGATCATCCACATTAAGTTAAATTTCTTTAATTATTTGACGTTTCGGCTACCTACACGGCAGCCATTATCAAAGACGTATTACAGTTACAAAAAAGCAACAGTTAACTGTAAATAACTGTAAACTTTTTGTAACTGTAACTGCAATACGTATTTGATAATGGCTGCCGTATAGGTAGCCGAAACGTAAGAAATAATAGTCTAGGGGTCTTAAACAAAAGCGTTATAGGTTTCTAGTAGGCCCCTAGGCCTACTGTAATAATGAATTAGTAAACTTTTGTAAATATTATTCAAAAACTCATTAATAATTCATGAAGCAATTATCCAACCTTGAGTAAGAAATTAGTCACGTGCATACGTCTTTATACCAGCTAAAGAACACTTTAACAAAAGACCATTGTTATGCAAACTATATAAAGATTTTTATATAAAGATTTTTATATAAAGGTTTTTATATAAAGATTTTTATATAAAGATTTGACTTATTATGCAAACGTTTCTGAAGCCATTTAAAAAACTCGCAGGTCGTGTTTTGTTAGGTCTAAAGCAGGGCGCTTATATATAGGGCGGTGCAACGGCTATTGGAGCGCTGATCGATGTGTGATGCAGAGGTATGGTGACGAGTCCGTTGTTGTTGCCATGGCGACATTGTTTAACAACAAAATGGCGGGTACGCTTGAGCAGGAAGCTTTCGAAAAAAATATTGATGAGAATGAACAAAAAAATCCATTGCCGTACAATTCTTTAGCAGATTTTTCTACTATACTTTCAGGTATAAATAAAAATGTTTTGAAGTCTCTGCTCGAAACGCTTGACAAAGTTTACAAACCAATGTCGAATGAGCGAATTGTAATATCATTGGTTTTGCAAGCTTTGCTTGACACCTGTAAAACTAAGGTTGTCGATGATTTTATACAAAGTGTTTTAAAACTCGTTCAAGATTGTTTTCACGAGACCGAAGATGTACCAGTTGTTAAGAGAGCAGTAGCACTCGAGAGAACGTTTTCACGAATTAGATCCGATGGCATTCACTACTTGGCGGTAAAACAATCGTGGGAAAAGTAAATTTTTTGCTCAGGTCAAAACGTACAGCTCAGCTCTGGTTCAGTGGATGTAATACTGCAGCAAATTCTCCAGCATTTCTGGTTCACCAGTACCAATACTCAAGATGCAACAGTAGATATATCGAATGTGGATTCACTCCCTGCAACTACAAGCTATATTGATGCAAACCAGGACAATGACACTATTCGGGACCATGCTGGGTGGGCAATAAAGAGGGCAAGGGATGTTATCTTCAAGGGACAAAATGAACTGCCGGCGAAAGCGACTGTTGATGAAGATTCCCCAGTGATTTTTGGCAGCAAGACAGACGCATTGGCAGTGTTATCGCTATTAGGAGAAGACAAAAAACAGCCAGATGACAGCTACAGATTTAGGATTTACGAGCATGTTATTCCTTTTTTTATATTTCTGCACAAATTAGCCGAAAGTTTATTAAGTCCGGAAAATATACTTAGGGAAAAAGAAAACATTTTAAAGTTTTGTCTTGACCGAATGTCAACTAATAAGGAATTGCGAGGTAGATGGGATGAACTGACACCAAATTCGGATATACGAACATCAGTTGTTGTGTTGCAAAGAATCGTTACTTTTTTCATGAAATCCAAACAACAAATAATTCGGGAAAAAGAAGGCCTTAAACCCAACAAAAATAGTGTAGCTCTGCGACAGCAAATCAGACGACCAAATAAAAAATGTTCTACAATATCTTCCACTCAGACGACAACGGACCATCATATACAAACCTTGAGAACCAATTTTGACAGTTCTTCTTTAGACGTGTTTTTACTCCATCTGAAAACTTTGCCCCCCTCTGAACAAGAACATATATTGGGAAACCTTCAAGGGAAGGAACTGGGTAAAATTTTGAAGTCTTTGGGTCAGCCTGCATTTTTGGGCAAAAAGAAAGAAAAACAGATACAGACCCTCCTTGAGGCAGTGAAGGGGGGGATGGTATGTGTTAAGTTTCCTGATGAGGTAAGTCATAGTAAAATGAAACCACACAACATTGGCAATGAAAAAAGAAATTTTATTTATTATATATATATATTATGCATAATTGCAAAAAATTTATCTGCACTATATAATTATGACCCCCCTGTTTGAACCCCCCTCCCCAACTCCCCCCTCTCAATAATTTAACTAATTTAACATTGTCATAGGCCTTTCAGCAAAAAGAAAGTCTATATGTTTGTGACAGTTAACAACCATGTGTATAAAAAGCACACCCTCTCAAATAAATCCCCATGATAATCTACTGTTCTTTATGAAAACCTAATGTACGTAGTACATCGAATATAGAGTCTGGATATAAAATCATCCAATAATTATGCGCACTATACAAATATTTCCCTCCCTTTTCATCTTAACCCATTAAGCACCAGCGCTCTCCCCTCGACGAGTAAAATCGTCTGGCATTAGACAGAGTAAAATGCTAAAGTAGGCTGCATCAGGGTGCATTGCCACTCAATGGGTTAACTAGACACATGGGCAGATAGGCCAGTTAACCCATTAAGCGCCAGCGCTCTCCCCTTGACGAATAAAATTGTCTGGCGTTAGACAGAGTAAAATGCTAAAGTAGGGTGTATCGCCACTCAATGGGTTATTACTCCCACCCTGCCACCGTGGGTGGAATAATTTTTTGGCTTAGTGAAATCTCTGACTCTGTTATAAGTTAATTGCACACACCTTGATACAGGCCCATCTACATGATACAACTAATCTGATTCTATCCCGGCATATAGGATTCTTATACTGGCATACTGTATGTATGCCAGAGACACATTTTCATATTTTCGTTTGGGGGTGGGGGGTGGTGGATAAGTTAAGGAAAAAGTTTAACAAAATTTGTTTTCTATGCCTGCATGGCAAGATCTGAGACCATAATATTGGTAATTTTACAAATTCAGTAGTAAGAATAATCAAATATGAAACTATCAAATCAAAATATATGCCAAATGCCTTTGGGGGGGGGTGGTGAAATATTTTCTGGGGGGTGCACACCCCCCCCCCCCGAAAATCTGTGCCTGATGTATGCAAAGATGCCACATTACAAATTTTGATATAAACTATTGAACAGAAATAGTTTGTGTCAGCAATTGCTTGAATGACAATCAAGACAGAACGACAATAGTATATGACTAGTCGTATCATGTAAATGGACCTCAAGGAAGTGGGGTGCCAGTGTAGGTACTCCTGGTAAATGAGATAGACTCTGAAAGATAAACAAGAAGTTCTTGTTTATCTTTTAGGTAGTGTAAAGCTGTGTTTACACTACGAGCCTAATCCTGGCCTGGGCCTACCTTTGAACTAGATTTTTGTAGTGTAAACAAACTGATGGACCGAGATTTCCTGGTCTAGGCCAGGCTGAAGTGCATTCACACTACAAAAAACCTAGGCCAGGCTTAAGCTCGTAGTGTAAACACGGCTTAATTAAGTATCTTACTTACTGAAAGTTTATTTCTATAAGGAAGGTCAACAGATCGAAACTGGCATAGACCTTCACTTTTGACCAAATACTCTCGTTTCTATATGTTTTAGCATGGCGGACAAAGATTAACTAAGGTTGTTCGCCTAAAAGCTTATTCCTCTACCATATTGTGCATGAAACACAAGAGAGTGTAAATACAACAAAAAACGAGGCTATTAGGTTAAAAGTGAATAGTAAGGTCTATTTGACCTAAATCAATATTTTCTATTTTATATAGTTGGCAAAATAATGGTACGGATCAAGAAATGTTAAAGATAAACAGGCCACATATTTTTGGTAAAGATGCTCTCCATATTACCTCTCCTTGGAAGACTGGTGTTACTCTCTTGCTCGATACTAAGTTCTATTTCATCATTTTCCATTACATTTGTTTGCTTCTTCCTTAAAAGTTTGGTTGCCGAATATGAGATAGCACTGTTTACATTATATCCATACGCAATTGCAGTCATGTTATTTGAACCGCCACATGACTGCCTTTGCACTGAGAAAAAAGATTCGACTAGATCTTGACTTAGTCGCTTTGGAATCACATAATGACTTCCTTGGAGGGATTGGATTTCAGGACTTTCAATAAATTTTACCAGCTCTTTAATGCCGTTAATTGAAACCTGCAAAGTTAAATAAAACTATTTAGTGAAATAATACTAATGCAAATACTGTATTCTGAATGGACTTATGGACATAATACTTGCTGTAATCTATTACTCAATAGATAACAGCCATATCTTTGGCAAGATTTTTTTGAAAACTTTTTGAAATGTTGTTTTGTAATATTTTGATAGTTCATAGAGATGATAGTTGAGCTCATAATCTAATTGTTACTGTCGTTCCAATTGAAGTGTTCCTCAAATATCGATTCAATACATTACCTCGGGTTGACCAATTCATTTCATCAAGTTCCTCGAAATATTCATACACTTCCTAGTATAATTGTAAACTTCCTGTTGAATAGTTTGAATGCACCAATCACCTTTGCTGTTTGTGCAACTAACCAATCATAAATAGAAAGGAAGTGACCAGAAATGATCAAATACTTGGAATTGGCTCTTTCACAGGAAGTGTATGAAAATCTCGAGGAACTTGATGAAACGAATTGGTCAGCTTGAGGTAATGTATTGAATCAATATTTGAGGAACACTTCAATTGGAACGACAGTAATATTAGTTCAATTTCATACAATAAATAACTAATTCAAGAATCACCTGTAAATCAAACATTGTTTGCCAAGTGATAAAATGTGATGATATCTCAGATTTAGTCGTAAATTTGGAAGCAAGTTCATCTTTCCAATTGTTGAAAAATTGGAGAACATTTTCTAAATCTGTAATCCTAGAATCAGTTATTGA